AGAGAGAGAGAGAGAGAGGAATTCGCTTCGCCTTATTTTGAAGCATAGACTCAACATTTTTAGTAAAAAGTGATTCCATTTACCGTGGACAAAATATAAGTCAAAAAATCACTCAAAAGTCAAAAAGTTTACACAGAAAGAAACGACTGTTATGAGGACAGTTCAAGTCCTGGCTTCTGTATTTCTATGTCTTCACACGTAAGATAGCGAGCCAGGAACGGCAACACAGAATGCTGATATGCCGATGTACGCGAGAGATATGCCGTTATTGGGAATACGCACTCATAACGAGTGCTAACACTGGGGTGTTGTGGCTCACCCAACTACCGGTGCACTTCCCGCCAACTGGGATCCGTGCCGCTCTCCCCCTATTCCTGTTGTGGTATAGAATCCTAGTTTAGTATTTATTGTGGACCAGGGGGCGTAGTCGTATGTCTAGATGCGGGTCCGGCCGTGCCAGCCACCTACGCCCTTTCTCGCCGCTGGTCTTCTTAACTATGTCTTGACGCCGGACCCAGGCTGGAGGAGAGAGTGCGGTAGATGCTGCACAAGTCTTTCCTCACTATAAATTAATTTGCGTGCAAGTCATCGTGCATTCTCTCAACCTACTGTAGCGCACGGTTGGACTTCGTCGGAAACGACAGCCAAACTGTCGTGTGGCATACGTAGACGGACTGATTAGCTTTGCCAGTCACTGCGTCCGAGCCCGCCTCCGGTCCTCCTGGTCCGGTCTTTCCACCGGGTCCAGGTGGGTGAGCAGGGAGGGTGTACGGCGGATGCTGCACAAGTCTGCTATAGTTACGAACCGACTCACGCACAAGTCCCAGTCTTGCGCCCGTCATGTTGCAGGAGACACGGTGTACATAGTAATTCGCGACCGTCGAACTGACACAAGATACAGGTGTGATAACGCCTCGATAATGGTCTCCATAATGTCACAAATTGTGCCTCCACGCGTAACGATCTACGGTGGCGTATCTAGAGAGCCCGACCCATTCTCTCCTACAGCGACGAAAGCCGGATACAGAAAGTCCAAGAACCACTTTTATGTCTTGGCGAATTGCGTCGAGATGGCATTTTGAGTTGGTCATCTCTTTGGTCTCTTCAGGTAAGCAAAACAGCGAATTGAGGCCAGCAGCACTGAGCTTGTGGACTGGACGACGGAAAGCCTACCCAAGCTGCCTTAGTTGTCTTTCTTGAGTGGTCGGAGATATCCTCGCGGTGTTGTCGCAGCGAGTGTAAACTGTCTGCATCGGCGTACTTTACTCGAAGGATTGTTCCAGGTAAGAGCGTGACCTCAATGAGCATGAAAAGTTTTGTCTGAGAACCTAGAATATTGAGCAAGGCCTCATCCCTGGTGTAGACAGGCTTCTTAAATTTGGCAGCTGCTGTTTACCTACAGCTAGCCTACAAACACTGACTACTTTGGAGGAGAAACCTGACTATCTTCCCCCCACACAATGATTTAGATTAGCTACAACAATTCGTGTATTTTTTGAATAGAAGCGAGCATATGTATTAACTACTTCACTCAAAAATCCGAATAAATGCATTTTCTCCTTCCTTTAGAACATGACGTTTGGAAGGTTTTTTTTGCTGGTTATCCTTACTGAACTGTACCCGACAAACGAATTGACGCCAGGAACACCATGGTTAGCTGAACTCAGTTTTAAGAATGAATATAACAGTAACGGATCGAAGATGCGTTAACTTTCAGTGTTGATTTCGGAGCTCCGGCTATGTTTCCTGTGTCAGCATGAGTGCAAATAGTTTCGGAATAGAACTGACACTCTAAACAGCTCTTTGCGGGACTGCACATGCACTCTAAAGATTTACGCCAGACTAAATAGTCCAAGCACTAAAAGCTACAGCGTCAATAGAAGTACTAAGATCGGACCAGAAAGAACTGCAAGTCTTGTGTACATCTGCCAAGAGGGAATGACTTGTACTGATTTGTAATTCCTAGTGAAATTATCGACAAAACTGAAGGCAAGATGATCAGGGCGCGGCCAGTTTTTGCGCACAGATGGATCAAAACTTGGAGAAACGCTTATTTGGGTCTTGACTGGTACTTAGGATAAGATCATTCTCCGACTGACCAAGTGGCAGTTGCGTAGCGCATTAAGAATTGAGCATAAACGTCACCAAACCTATGGCGCCTTGTCCCAAACTTATTCCGACTAAATTATAGTGACGGTTAGAAGCGGATGTAGTGCCAGAAACCAGATGGCCACCTTTGCCGACCGTTGCCGCGGAAAGTAGGTGAAACTTCTGGATCGCGGCCGAAACGTTCTCAGACCACAGAGAAGGGTTTACAAAATCGTCGTGACAAAGCCTCCGCGAGAGCGAGGACTTGTAGACTAGACACCTATCGATCGTGCCGGCCAGGGTTATACACGTACGTTATGCCTGTGCGGACTACTGCGCCGTTGGGTTTGCGCCCGTCCATCTTACCCCTGCGTCCTCCGATTGGCCGGCTGCCGAAATAGACTGACGGACAGGGCCTCTCTTGTCTAGCCACAACTGCGCACGCCATCGCATGCACGCCAGAACGCATGCCACACCGGGGATGTGCCTCGCACGCGCTAATGTGCGTGGCGAGTCCTCTCGATCACCACCGGAACCTTGGTTACCGGTGCCTTAGAACCGGACTTGTGGGGTTGGGGGTAAAAAGACGAGGTCGCCGTTTAATGCTGACGAAATGACTATCAACCTGACCGCCTGCTCGAATGGCCTGTTAGGGGTTTCAAGGGTGGAGGCTTTACATTAGCGCGAGCAGCGCTAATGATCCATGTTTGCGTGGTGCATGGGCTATATTATGCATCCCACGCTCTTTAACGCTCATCGTGCCGTGTCCATTATATTCAAGACTCATGCTACGTAAATAAGCAGCTAAATAAGGGCCCAAAAATTTGGTGCCAGCGCTAAGTATCACTTAATTCTCAACTTTCTCCTCGTTCACATATCCACTTGGTCGGCGTAAAATCGTGTGCTGTGCAGTTTTTGCATCGATTAAATGACTGCATCGCATACCGTGAAA